GTCAGCTTTCAAATGAGATCTTACTTGTGCTTTTAGTACAAAGGGTTCATGAACTGTATCTGTTTCAGTTTGGGAATGCCATATCTGGGGATTTTTCAAAAATGGGCTTGAAGCTTAACAGGTTAAGAAACGCGGCGCGCTCAGAATCTCCCATGTCGGCGAGCGTGAGCCATAAGTGTCTCTCGGCAACACAAAGGCTGGCCATGCATCTCCCCAGAGCTTGTGCGGCGGCTTTAGTGGCGCGAAGGGCGAGGTCCGTAGCACTTCTCAGATCCGTGACAGCGGGGGAGGGGTTTCTACCGCTTTCGGCCCACTCACGGAGAATATCGCTCTGTAATACTTGGAGGACAGACATAGAATGTAGCGCTGCGGCGGCCTGACCGGCGGCGGCGTAGGCGCGAGCATGAAAGCTCGAGGTCTCTCTGCAAGCTTTCGAAGGAAGCGTGGGGGAAGAGCGCCATCTAGCAGAGGGCGGGCAGAGGTGTGTGGCGACCAAGTCCTCAACGGGCGGCATGGCTGAGTAACCTTTTTCGGCGGCTCCGTCCACTGAGCGCAGCGAGGCGGATATATCGGAGCGGTTTCTAGCCGAGAGCGGGGCATTCCAGGACTTCGTTAGCTCTGTGTGAAGTTCAGGCAGGAATGGGGCGGCCCGGTTGCACGCGGGGGTCGAGCGCCGATGAAAAAAGCTGCCGTCCATCCGGTTCGGGGCCTGCTCGGGTGGAGGAGACCACTCGAGACCGAGGCGTTCGACGGCCTGTGAGAGGAGGCGCATTAGTTCCTCCTCTATCCCGGCGCGGATCCCCGCCGACTCTCTCGTGGATCCGAGAGATGACCATTCTTCACTGTCTGATGCGAGCAGTAAACAGGAGTCCTTCTCCTCCGCGGCGTCATCGGAAGCGACAGAGCGGCCACTCGGCGGCAACTGTATGTCCGGCAGGGGCGGGGAGGGAGAGCGGGAAGCGGCGGCGGCGGCCCGCATGGTTCCGCAGGGGGCTCCGGCGGCCTCTGGGAGCGGCGTTTCTTCTTACGCGGCGAAGAGGGAGGCGGCGCGGGAGCGGATTTTGCTGCCAGAAGTCGTGCCCACAGGGACGACAACGGCAGGCTCTCACAGAAGTCGCATCCTCCATCCGCGAGGGCGAGTTCTGCGTGCTCGAGTCCCAGGCAGAGAGCGCAGATGACATGGCGGTCTCCGTCCTCGAGACGAGCGCGGCAAGAGCCGCAGGAAAAATGAGACATCTTTAAAAAGACGCTCGGCTCTTTTAGATATAAATAGAGAAAAGAGAAGGATACAGTCGTCGGATGGCGCTAGCTTGCAGGGCGGCTGAAGGTGGCGAAGACGGCCGGCTTCTTCAGGGTCCGGGAGCTCGCTAGAGTGATGCCTTCTCGACGGCGACGGCTTTTCTCAGGACAGCAGAAGCGTGCAGCTTGCTGAAGATGAAATGAATCAACATATAAGCCTGGGAGAGACTGTTATATACACCATAGCCACGCCCATTCTGGCGGGCCATGACGCAATGAGCGCGCGGGCGCCTCTCATTGGAAGCGGGTTCAGCCCCGCTCTCCCATAGGCTTAAGCAGTTCTCTCTGAGCGAACCAATGAGCTGCTAGCTAGCCTGCTCTAGGTCTGCCGCAGAGGAACTGCGTTGTCAATGGATACAGATTATGAAATAATTTTTTGGCTTCAATATCTCAGCAAAGATGAATCTTTCCCCCACAGCGTAAGCTAGCTTACGCAATACGAGAGAACCTCTCGTAAGAGAACCCAACATTGGTATGTATGTGTTGGTTTTAACCCTTAATCAAACATTTTATCAAGCATTTATTGTTTATTAAACCTTTTCTTACAAAACCCATAGCCCAATCAGTACGAACATAGTCTCAAAGTCTTAATAATTTACAAGATTTAACAAGTTGCCAAATTTGTACGATACTCGTACATATTTATATACTCGTACATAATCCTGCAGAATACCCAGCAATATTTGTAAATCAGTTGTGCCCCTTCTTGGAAAGTAGTCGGATGTCCCACATACTGTCAGAAAGTTTATATTGTATTCTTTAAAATTATTACAAATTGGACCCTGTTTGTTCATGTTTCAATGATACATGATCTCTCTCTACACCTCATAACCTACCTCTGTTTGCAAGAGTGGAAAAGATAATTTGACTTGTCACATGACATCAGATATTCGATTATTTTGTCATAATCAGATCAGTTACACTGCTGATAACTGCCCCGTTTGCATTTAAATTATGTTATTTTGAAACGAGTTCATATGGATATTGCTTGCTATTAAATACATACTTTTAATCATGCCCACATACAGTATCAGTGAACTTATTACATATGAATGCATTCAACGTTTAATTATGCAACACTCTTTACAGAAAAATATCCCACAGTTATAGATAAACTCACAACATCATCATCAAGTGCTGTGCTAGGCACATTGGGCAACAGGTGTCCTCCAACGTATTCGATCCGTGGCCAAGTTCTCCACATCTTCCCATGGGACACTGACATTCTTCAGGTCTTCGTGAAACATCTGTCTCCATGTCTTCCTTGGTCTTCCCTGTCTCCTGCATCCTTCTGGTGGTGTCCACTCATAACTGTCTTTGGGTGTTGTTGTTTGGGCATGCGTAGGATGTGTCCAGCGAGGTGCACCTTTTGCTCTGTCTCAGTTTCAAGTCTTCGTGTGAAGTCTCACTCCTCCTCATGATCTCTTTGATATATGCAGAACCAATATTGAAAATAGTCATTTATCTTTTTCCATATTGTTAAAGCATTTTGTTTTCTTTTCAGCTTCATAAACTGTACTTGATGTCTGCCTAATGCCTTTATCAAATAAGTGTCAGTGCACATCAGGAGTTTTGGTAAGGACATATTCATTGCCATCCATTAGTTCTAGTCACGCAGTGACTTCATGATGCAATAGTCAAATGTATATTTCTACAAGTGTATATAGCAGGTGTTTGTCCGAACAATTGAAGATAGTGAGAGTGTTCAGGAACACCTTTTGAAAACAATCAATATTTATGGCATTCTGTTTGGTGCTGAAAGAGTATTATAGAAATGACACACTTGACCTACTGGATATTATTCTGTGAGTTTGTTACATTTACATTTAGATGGACTTACTGATTTATCCAAACTGGCCTGGGACACTCTTCTGGTTTCCCAGAAGTCACAGTTCGGTTCATACCTCAGTTCAGACATCACGGTTTGGTACAATGGAGGGAAAAGCAAAACAAAAATGCAGAAAGCTTGTGCATGTCTCAGGCTGTACCACCAACGGAAAATAAATTACTTAAACCTTGTATTTTTTAAATAAGTTTTATTAATAAAGTAAAGGCATAGAACCAGTTTATTTGTAGTGCACTGACAATAGTTTTATATAATTAGTTTATTAAAGCTGCAGTCCGTAGCTTTTTTTTGGGTTAAAAATTATCCAAAATACATATTTGAGAAAATACATAACCAGACAGTGTTCAAAACTATCTGCTTGACTTGACTTTAATTCCAGTGGTACTGGTGGATTTCCGCGGGAAATTCGAGCATGTCTTTGCGTCATTACGTCACATCTGTACACATAAAGAAGGAGTCTCGGCTAGTAGGCTATATTGCGTGTGAGGATGTTGGAGGTGGAGATTTATAGCCTTTTCTCACAGCACTTGATATGATTAAACTTATCAATTTGATGGCGGATCCAGAAAGGTTCTAACGACAATCACCAGTGACAACAGATGCACCCGTTGTAAAATGCAAAAGACTTCGTTCGGACTTCGGAGTGGCTACAGAAAAAAAGAGACTGCAACCGGACCCATGCGAAAACAAGGACACATATCGTAAGGACATTACATGTAGTCACGCAATGCTGACGTTGTTAACATTAACAATTTGAGAACAAAGTATAATTTGCACGGTTTTGCGTGATATGATAAGCGATTGTTATATCGTCGCTGTCGGGCGGAAACCTTGTATGTCCAAATTTGGTCAATTTCATATTTTTTCACAAATCGATGCTATTGGTCAGTCTCCATGTGGGTCTGTTATTTTTACAAATTATTAACCAATCGAAAGAGTTGAAAATAGCTTGTGAGCAAACCTCTTAACTCCATTGGACACTTCAACTGTCTGAGAAACCTCGTAACTCCACCCCTTCTTCATTTGGCGCCGCCGCGCTGAGAGCTTCGCGGCATTTTTTCTCCTCAAGATTGGAAGTCGCAATCCTCGTTGAGCAACACGTCCTCTGAGGTAAATGTCATTATTCATGATTTAGTTATATAAATGATATAATAACAGTTTATATATTATATATAACAGTTTTATCTCAATCGAAGTAATGGTAGTGCTAGTTTAGTGTAATGTATCATTTCTGAGGATCCTAGATTTTTCTTTCTGCTATGTCTTGCATTGGACGGTAAGTTAGCTAAGTTAACTTATCATGTTGATTGAAATCTTCCATGGTTTTGTTTCTGACGAGGAAATTTAATTTAAACCGCAAAAATTGCCTGTCGTTGACTTAGTTAGCTGCTATGTAACGTTATTGGTTTTGTCATCATGTTAGGTGAGATAGGCAGCTAACATGATTTTCGTGGGGCTTAAATAAAAATATCTCGACCCCCGCTAACGCTAGTTCTGGCACTCATCTGAAGAACAACATAATAATTTAATGTACTATGTCAGTATTGTAGCTTACAATGTCAAGGCATTCCGTCATGTTCAACAAGTAGCTACCTTTTACGTCATGTTCATCACTTTAAGCAAGCTAGCTGGTTTCTTGCCTTGTTATGATACGTAAACATGCCGTATAACTTAGTGAAACGATCATTTGACCTTTATTTATTTTATTTTTTGCAGCAACCATGTCTGTGTCCTTAAAGGAACTCTGTCAGATGGTCAATGTGCCATATGATCAGGCAAGGGCCCTAATAGACAGTGAGAGCTCTGATGGAGAGAGTGTAACGTTAGAGAGAGAGGAAGCAACAGTGGTGGAGGATACAGTGGTGGAGGATACAGTGGTGCATGCTGGTAGAGTGAATTTCTGAGAGATAATCATGATTTCACATGCCAAAATGAATGAGTTTTAATGCAGATGTATTTCACAACAATAGAAATAAAAAAATCACACTAATTGTACGATGTGTTTGAAAAGATTTATCTGGTGGTCTGGAGGAAGAGGAGGCCTCACTGCTGCCTCCAGAGCAGGTGCAGTTTGACACGGGTAGGTTTGATGCTTTTCTACATTTTGCTTTTCTGCTTTCTGCTTTTCTACATGGATTTCACAACAATAGAAATAAAAAAAATCACACTAATTGTACCATGTGTTTGAAAAGATTTCTCTGGTGGTCTGGAGGAAGAGGAGGCCTCACTGCTGGCTCCAGATCAGGTGCAGTTTGACACGGGTAGGTTTGATGCTTTTCTACATTTTCTCATTAAATTGGATAAGGTCCTTCAACTATAGCCCTTACTGTTGACAGTTTATAAACATGTAACTCATTCATGCACGTTTGGTTTGTGTGTGTATTTTGAAGTTTTCCATGGTGGAGGCGATGAGGACTCGGATGCAGAGCATTCATGCTCAGATGCTGAGGAAGACGCACCTCCAAGGAAAAGACTGAGAGCTGAGAACACCTGGAAGAAAGTCATCAACAAGAAAAGAAGAATGGTTGGAAAGTCATACATTGGAAAACAGAAGCAGTAGGAAACAGAGAAGAATGTAACACCTTTGTCAAGGCAAGTGTTCACAAATGAGTTCAAGCGTCTCAACCTAGGCCTTTACCACCCAAAAAAGGACCAGTGCAACATCTGTTGTGCTTTCAAGACCGGCAACTTACCTGATGACGAGTGGCAGCACCATCTCCTTCAAAAAGAAGAGGCCCGCGCCGAAAAGTTGTCCGACAAAAGCAAGGCCAGCAACAACACTATGGTCTTATGTATGGACTTACAAGCCCTCTTGTTGTGCCCAAAGCTAAAAGCATCTGCCTTGTATTACAAAACAAAGCATGCTGTTCACAATTTTACCATGTACAACATGCTGACACACAGTGCCACATGTTATGTCTGGCATGAAGGCGAGGGATACCTGTCTGTCAGTGAGTTTGTTTCATGCATTGTCGACTACCTCTCTGCACACACTGAGCCTGACACATTTATTCTGTGGAGTGATGGCTGCGGGTATCAGAACCGGAATGCAGTTCTAAGCAATGCACTTCTTCTGTTCTCCATGAAGAATAACAAAGTCGTCATTCAGAAGTACCTTGAGAAAGGGCATACTCAGATGGAATGCGACTCCGTTCACAGCGTCATCGAGAGGCGTCTGAGGGACCAGGATGTTTATCTCCCAGCAGAGTATGTTAACCTGATGAAGAGGGCCCGTGTAAAGCCTCATCCATATGAAGTCAAGTACATCGACCACAACTTCTTCCAGGACTTCACCAAGCTGAGGCTCTGCAAGTCTCTGCGCCCTGGAGGAAGACCTGGTGACCCAACTGTCCATGATATCAGAGCCATCAGGTAATTACCAATGCAAATCTTATGTCTTACCAATATACTCATGACATTATGATGTTGCATATTGTTTTATGAAATCTTACAGTGATTATGTTGTTGTGTTATATTTTGTGCTATTAGGTACAACAACAATGGAACGATGGACTTCAAAATCAACCACTCTGATGACTGGCATTCACATCCAAGTCACCAACTCCAAAACTCCACCTCAGACAGCCACACAGTCACCCCACTCTATTCAGACCGCCTGAAGATCAAAGAGCTGAAATTCAAACACCTCCAAGACCTGAAGGAAGTCATCCCAAAGGACTTTCACAGCTTTTACGACAATTTACTTCACTAGCTTAATATAGGATGCAGTATTAAAGGAGAACTCCTACGCAAAATGAACCTGGGGTGTAATAACACATTGTTACCGAGTCGACCGTTCTCTGGGATTTGTTTTCATGATAATCGAATGTAAAGAGTTCTATCTCTAAAAACTGTTTAGATTATAATGCTAGTATTGTTACAGGTGTGTCCTGAGTTTCCCCCCGTCACTGTGTATTTGGTTTAGTCCTGTGTTCGTTTTCCCGCTCCTCGTTTGTGTTCAGTTCCTTCACCTGTGTCTAGTTAATTTGCCCCAGCTGTGCCTTGTTTCCCCTATCTGTTCTCTGTGTATGTAAACCCTGTGTTCTCCTTCACTCCTTGTCGGTTCTCGTTTGTATTTGGTGTGGTAATGTCTCTTGGATTCCTGTCTTAAGTTATATTTAGTAAAGATTATTGAATTTGATCTGCTGACTGCTGCCTCTTCATCTGCCTGCACCACACCCGTAACAAGTATATGTTGGCATATAATAAGTAAAAATAAATCGCTAGTTAATACCACTAACAATGCTCAAAATAGCCCCACACTAACACGGTAGCATAATGAGGGTCCAAACCGAAGCACTGAGAACTTTGTAAGTGTACAGACAGTTTATTAATAATATACTTTATAAAGACAGTACCATCGCGGAGCCATCTTTGGGAAACAGCCTCGAACAGTCGAACCACTAACGCCGTGCTAAGTGAGCTGAACTTTGAGATTCCAAGTCACAGTTCAGCTCGTAGCACGGCGTTCGTGGTTCGACTGGTCGAGACTGTTTTCCAAAGATGGCTCGGGGATGTTACTGTCTTTATAAAGTATATTATTATTAAACTGTCTCAGTGATCTCAGTGCTTCGGTTTGTATGTAGGGACCCTCATTAAGCTACCGTGTTAGTGTGGGGCTATTTTGAGCATTGTTAGTGGTATTAACTAGCGATTTATTTTTACTTATTATATGCAAACATATACTAGCATTATAAGCAAAACAGTTTTTAGAGATAAAACTCTTTACACTCGATTATCATGAAAACAAATCCCAGAGAACAGTCGACTCGGTACCAATGTGTTATTGGTGTGTTAATGAACCCCAGGTTCATTTTGCGCCGGAGTTCTCCTTTAATTCTGGTATGGCAGTAAAATATGATGGCAATGTAACAACATACACAGAGCCTCACAGATACATGCACACAGACAAGGGCTAACCATACTCACAAACACAAATACACAAGCCTTAACTGTGATTTTATTATATTATAAATATTATTTTATATTAATATTATATTTATTTTATTGTTAAACTATGATATTAGTTATTGATGTATTTTAAATGTCTACTTATTACTAGGCTTATTATAAATGTGCATTGAAGTTTTAAAATGTATATAATATAATACTTGAATTGAATGTTTTGGATACCACCATTAAATTATTGTTTTTATTATTATTTTACTGACTCAAAGTTCCCTCTCTTGGCACTGTGCATGTAAAATACCCCAACTAGTGTTTTTATGGGAGAAAAAACGGCTGTCTACTGGCGTCGAGTAAGCCTATCTTTGGATAACTCTGTCTGTTTTTTAGGTAATAACGAGTGAAAATAGTTAGGTTAGATACATTTGATTAGGCCTGTTTTGTTAAAGATCAAAAGCTGTAATACTTAGGTGCAGAAGGAAGCCCGTGAGCCACAAAGGTAAGTTTGCGTGCAGATTAGGCTAATTTTCGCCTATTAGACAGCCTAGTCAGCTCGTTTTTTTTTTTTGTATTGCATCACTTATAGCTCATAAACTTTTAAAATAGAGTTTAGGAAGATATATGTAACCACAACCATAAGCTTTGATTAGCTCTTAAAGCCTTGTCTCGTCAAAAGGCTCAATGCGACCGCGGACTTTAATGAACACTGCTGGCAGCAGCGAAGTCTGCGTTCATTCCATTCTTATCAATGACAGCGTAAACTCGTATCTCCCTGCTCCCAAGTCATAAACCTCGTATCTCCGATTAAACATGATTTTGGGGAAATGTTGTGTTAATGTTGGTACACAACAGTATATAATAGTAATATAATGTATAATACCAACTTACCAACTTTAACGATACAATGTTTAATAACTCAAAAAATATGCAGTTTTTTTTATTTCCTAAATACGAGGAGATACGAGGATTCCGCCCGACAGCGACGATATTTAATCAGCGCGATTTACTCCAATGTCAGAACCAGAACAAACGTGAATGTTTCTTACTTGTTCAGATTACATTTTCCGGTGAAAATTCTTATGTTGGTCATACTTCCAAAAAGAATATTCTGTGATTCTGAATGCCAGTATCCACACCGGCGCAGTGACTGACAGCCTCAGTCTCCTCAAACATTGTGTTCATCCGCGCTGTGTCGTGTCGAAGTACAACTCACGTAAAGTTGATAATTCCGCGAATAACTGCAATTGCAGATTTCGAACAGAGATGGCGACAAAGAGGAAAAACTGCGGACTGCAGCTTTAATTAAATTAATAAAAAGACAAAAAGACCTTGAGATATGTAATTTTGTACCTGAATGAATTGAAAATTAATTTGCTACATTTCAGATTAATATATTTGTTTCCCTTAAAATGAATTAACAGTAACAAAAATTTTGCAGTATGAATGATGCCCTGTATAAACAAAATGACGGAGTATGTTTCATGCGCCCGCGCCTCACACACAAACACACAAATATAAGTAAACACTTTGCGACTTTTCGATCGCGCGCCTCTCTCTCTCTCTCTCTCTCTCTCTCTCTCTCTCTCTCTCTCTCTCTCTCTCAGAGCTACAGATTAAGTGTCCCTAAAGAACCCCCGTATCTAACTGTAGGTCCAGTAGACTTGGGATTCTTCAGTAGGCAACTGCTAGCCCCACACCATGTCTCGGCATGCTAGCCAAGCCAAAGCAGCCAAAGCAAACATTGTAAATCGACCAATATTAGCCTAGGCCTACTCTAAAATTAATTAATATAATAATAACAAAGAAAACAGCTTACCTCTACATGTTTCTTCGAATTGGAAGGCAAGTTCTTGAAAGCCAAAAGTACATGGTTCTTTGGTTCACAAAGTTTGCAGTACATTCTCCACGAGTTGTTTTTGCTCCTGACGATTTCGAACAATTCTTTGAGGTAAGGCCAAGGATGTGGAAGGTTTTGCTGGTCGCCATCACTAGAACTACTACCAACGTTCTCGCCTGTGCTTTCACACGCTTCGGACATTTCGCCAGACATCATGCTCTTGCCAACTGGATCTCTTTTTGACACATTTGCAGCACAAAGTTTGCAGTGCATTCTCCACGAGTTGTTTTTGCTCCTGACGATTTCGAACAATTCTTTGAGGTAAGGCCAGGGATGTGGAAGGTTTTGCTGGTCGCCATCACTAGAACTACTACCAACGTTCTCGCCTGTGCTTTCACATGCTTCGGACATTTCGCCAGACATCATGCTCTTGCCAACTGAATCTCTTTTTGACACATTTGCAGCGGTTTGAACTTGCACTTTGTTTCCATGTGCAGAAAAGATGGACAGCCCACACACCAATGACATCTCTGAATGTTATGGGTTTTTGTGCCTCATCCAATGACGCTTGAAATCAGTCTATCTGGCGTTGAACAAAAAAAAAAAAAAAAACGAAACTAGAGTAACGAGCTTGTTTTTAACATGTAAGGAGTAGAAAGTACAGATAATTACGTTTAAATGTAAGGAGTAGAAGTAAAAAGTTGACAAAAAAATAAATAGTAGAGTAAAGTAAAGATACCTAAAAACTCTACTTAAGTACAGTAACAAAGTATTTTTACTTCGTTACTTGACACCTCTGACAATATGTAT